GTGTATATAATAATGAAATATTAGAGGAAAGATATATGAAGAAAAAAGATACACAGTGGATTTTTTAAGCGAAACATTTCACTGTATGGAAACGTAAATGGAAAAATTCGTTTCTCCCCTTCATAAGGAACAATTTATATAATGCGTATGTTTTCGCGCAGTAAGCATATTTCTCCACTATGTATCTCTTACGGTCGGAAATATATTATGTTTATCGCACCACCGTACCGTATCGTTCGCTGGTCCACGTCCCTTTCCTGCACTTTAACCCTCGTTCCACCCTCGTTTCGCCCTCGTCTCGAATGCCTTCGTGGCACGATACAGCTGGGATTACCACGAAACTCGGCGAAACGTCTCCAACTCTCATCGAATAAATAACAAGAGAAATCCGGTCGACTCTCGACCCGGAATGTCGTATTTTCTAAAAGTCTGTGGATTGTGTCGATCATTTCTGCAGAAAGATAGAAAACCGCATGCGGTTGGACGCGCGGATAAACAATGGACGTTGAAGCGCTTTGACGAATTCGTGGTGATACGCGCACTGGTGCGAAATTCGCCACATGTAAACGTACTTTGTAACTTACTCCCTTTGTTCTCTGCTGGTCCGAGTCGCGAACATCCCAAGAGTACATTTGACATGAACATAGTTGCCATTCTAAATGGATGCGTAAAGATAAAGGTAAACAAACATTGACTAAAGGCAAATTGCACGGTGACGCGATATATAATAAAGTCACACTATCTGCTGTCGGATGTATATGTGTGTGTGTGTGTGTGTGTGTGTGTGTGTGTGTGTGTGTGTGTGTGTGTGTGTGTGTGTGTGTGTGCGTGTGTATAAAACGTGTCAAGGACTACGTATGGAAATTCACTCGGTTTTGTACAGCTTTTGGATTAAAGAGGACCTCTCAGATATCATTTAACTGTGTCGCACTGTTTGGTACAAAATGCACGTATATACTCAAGACAATATTATCATAACACGTTAAAAGGGTAGAAAATGTAACATTAGATTACTATCGATCTGTTTTTCTTCAATTTGCGACGCGTTTGCGCGGCGCAGCGTGAATCTGTTCATCCGTTTAGCCTATCCGCCCACATCCGAAGCTATAGGGGCTTTAGAACGCGGCATGAGTTATCCCAATTATCCAGATCTATTACTACGAATGTTTAGAAAACACACCGAAAATGTGCGCCAGCTATTACCTGCCGTTAATAGAGAAAACATGGATATAACTTTAGTCTGTCTGGGGGGGTAATCAGAAAATCCGATCGTATCCAAGCAGCTTTGCTTGTCGCGTTTAAATCGGTGAATAATTTAAATACCGTTCTTGCGCATATATATTATCGACGCGGTAATTACGTTTTCGCTCGATTCCGTCCTTTCGTGTTTCTTGCACGCAAAACTTTATCCACGTTTTACATTTATTCAGCGATAATTGAAACCCCTCATTCGTTTCTCCTACATTACGCTATTACACCGGAAATGTCCATTTCGTGTAAAAAAGTATTACATTTAAATATGTAATTTCGAATAGGAATTAAATACATTTCAATAAAATAATTTCAACTGTACGTTCTGTACTATTTATGTTCCTAAAAGGGAAATCATAAACCCATTTTGGTGTTATCTAGAAATTTGAACATGGAAATCATTGAAAATTATAATCCTGAGTGCACGCGCGTAACGCTTCTGTAACCATTGTATTTATGTCACAAATTGCTTTTAGAATATTAATTAGTATTAAAATTGTAAATTGATTTCATTCCGACTTTTTAACTGTTCAATCATGGAACAGAATTTTCACTGCTTCCCAAAAGCATTCTGCAAAAACTGTCTCTTGGAAAATAGTTCCCCTTTAAACTAATCGGAGTTCGAGAACGTGGGAGCCATCATGATTGATGCGGAATTAAATTGGCATTTGTTTTTACGGAAAAAAGTATTCCCCGTCACGTCGATAGCTTTCACACGAGACGAGATGAAACATCATTTTTGTTTTTCGTCGATTGATCTATTTTATTAATTGGTTTCACTGGTAATTAAATACACGTGATGACTGTTCGATGAGGATTTGTTCGGCAGGTTCGAAGTCAATAGGTGTAATCATTTAACGGGATTAACGCGATCGCTCTTATTTATTCCTCTGTTTCGAATTTATTTAATCCCCGATAATTTACCCTGGATTATAATGAGTGGTATTATGAGTTTTAAGCCATTTGGAATTCTGTTCGCGTCGAAGCTGCGCTTTCTAGAATTGATAGAGCTTCCTTCGTAATCCGATACGCCAAATGCGTTTGTACTCGATCAAAAGCCAGACACGCGCATAGCGCGCATAGGCAATATACATAACTACTCGATCAACGTCCCGTTTACGAGACTAACTGAAATTATTAGCGCGCGATAACCAGCAATTTGATCGATAGAATACCTTCATAGGTAATTCATTTCAAATGAAGCTAATTACTCTAATTTGATGGGTAGATACTTTATATAGACACAAGCAATTTATTTCGAATCGAGCTAATTACTCTAATTCTAAACAATAACTAACGTTTTAAAACGTGAATCACAGTCGTGAAAATATGGCCGATATATATCAGATGGTACAATACCATTGTATGTCGATATAAGAGAGGAAAAGTATTCGCATTGTCAGACGAGGCCAATAAATGGCAGGCTTTGTCACCCAGTGCTGTGCCAAGCTCGCGAAAAAGTTTTACACGCGACAGGTGTTTCGTGACGTGTATTTCCGCGCGAGCCATTTTACATAAAACGGTTTTCTTATCTTGATGCATGGTTATTTTGCATAAACTGGAGAAAACTTATGCAAGAATTCGAGGCGATGCGCAGAAATACGTCAACCAAGTCTGTACATATTTACAAAGCAGTATCCAAATTATAACGTCAAAGGATTTCGTAAAACTCACTTCCGTCTATTCTGAATAATTAAACTTTGAGATTTGAGCAGCAGAAAATCGAGCAACGAGTTTGAAATGCGCGTTTAAAGCAAGCATAAATCTCTCATTATTTCAATGGTATTACTTTCAGCAAACGAGATGTTGGATAGTTTAGGACTCCTAATTAAAGTGTACCGCTTAAGTGAATCAAGTGTATTGCATATTGCGCGAAGTCTACCTTATATACATTTTGCACAATTTTCCATCAGCTACTCGAACTAATTAAAACGAAGTGAAGCAACGAAAGATAAACTCCGGCTGGCTCTTTCGGAACGATACACATAAAAACACCATTTTACCACAAAGTTATATTCCTTCGTCATGTCGCGAAACGAACAAGGAAGAAAAATACAGTGCATTATATACATCGTCGAGCACCAAACTTTACGAATAAGTGGAGCACGGATAAAAGCAAAGTTAGTAAGTGTATAATTAACAACTCCGTTAAGAGAGTTCAAACTCAAGAGTATTCAGAAGTGGAAGAGTAGCAAGGATATGGGAACATCAGCAAGCCAAGAGAGCGTGAGACATAAGCCCTCTTACAAGAATGAATTTAAATTGGAGCGATAAAACGCGCGATCAAACTTAAGATGGTATAAACTAGCAATAACAATACACATCAATAGAAGCTTCATGTTTTAATGATATTTCTTGTAAATTGTAATTACTGTATCAAAGAGTTTCTATTACATTCAAAAGCCATAATGTGCTGATTAATTATATTAAAATATGCGCTTAACTTCTACGCAGAGATATTTTAATCTCAATCTCTTGTTATACATTTTGCTATGTACATAATATATGCACGGAAAGAACAATTTTGCTGAAGCATTAAAAAATTTAAGTAGGTACAGATCTGAAAATAATTTTGTCGGATCATCAAACTACGTAAATTTTTAGATACTTTAGCAAAACTATTCTCTTCATGTGACATAAGAAATTCAAGATGTTATCACGTTACAACGATAAACTAAATTAAGTTTCGTTATGTGGTAACCTAACTTGGCAGGTTATAGCAGGCAATCCTTAGTGAGCAAAAAATAATAATAGTTTCGCGAAGTTCGCTGATTACGTTGAAATTGGAAAGTGGTTGGCAGATCCTGATCATGCAGTTCAGAATTAATTACTTCGATTAGAGGGTGCCTGTCATCGCGAAAGCGTTTCTTGCGGCTGGTTCGCCCCCGGGAGGAAAGCCACGACACGACCTTATCTACCTCGAAAGGTCCCACGTTCGATCCATTGACTCGTCGAGACCCTAATACGACGCACGGAACTGACGTCCGCCGATAGGTCGCCCGTGTCCTAGAATCGGGCTCTGATCGACATCCCGGGACCGGTATGTACATCCACGCGAGACAGACTATCCATTGGCAGACGGCACATACGCAAACGGCAGGCACCCGCAGTCGACGAGACGTCGCTTTAAATCGGGCACATTCGTTGTCGACATTCGGTTCCGCAATTTCTCTCGTAATTCCTAATCCGAATATTGAATTGACTGTCGGGTTTCTTCACCAAGAAACGTTTTCACCATTTTCACGTATATTTATTCAGAACGCGTTTAAAATTCATAGCACAATTTTAGAAAAATTAATATTAAAATTAATATTATGGCGAAATAGTTTCAAAAGAGAGAGAGAGAGAGAATAAAATATTTATTATTATTATTTAAACTCATATATTCTATTTATATTCTTTCTTATCTCTAAGTCATTCAATCACTGGCTTTATTCGTCCAATATACAGATCAATGTCCAATGTCAGCATGAGAATGAGAAAGGGAATCAGACAGCAACATTTCATGTCAAATGCGCGACGAGAATGCGAACATTCGCGACTGTAGAGCCGCTTTGCCACCTCTTTCCCGAGGGACGCAATCCTCGCGTCGCGGCACGATCGATCAGAATTAAAATTCTCGTCGGGTCGTTTTTCTCCCACCAACTATAATCCTAATGCTCCTCCACCCTCCGAGTAATTGGCGTTCCCTAATGCCCTTTCGAGGTCACTTATGTAAGTAACGCACGACCCCATTTCTGTCGTTCCAGAGATGTGAGGAATGATCACGTGGATGATGGTCGGGCTGCTTCTGGCTGCGGAAACTTGCGGCAGAAACGTCCTCTCCGGAAACGGAAACGGAAACGGAAAGGAAGAGGAGGCGAAGCGGCGGGAGGGACTGAAGAGCGTCAGCGCGGACGAGGAAGACATCTATCGTGGGTATCGGTGCTGGACCGTCGAAAAATGAACGGAAACGTTCGGTAGAAAATAGATAGAGAGTACGAAGAAGAGGAGTACGAGAGAGAGAGAGAGAGAGAGAGAGAGAGAGAAGAGAAAAGAGTCGAACGAAAACCATGATTTACTTGGCTAACTCGAGTTTATCCCAGCTTGCCGATCCTGCAATCGAACGCCACTAATCTCCGAACTACCGCTTATCCTTTCAACCAACTTCGCACATGTACCGCAACCCTTCCTGTCAATGACACTCCTGCACTCGTCGTGTACAACGCGCGTTAACTCTTCCTCTATCGCTACGGTAAAATCACTGCCGTAACTTTGCATTAACGAATTTAGCTTCTGCCATAAGACGGCAATTGTGCCAGGACGCCATTCCAGGACGCCGTTTCGGTAAAGTCGTCGGAAAGTCCTTTTCTGGTAGAGTCGGCTTGTTTAAACTCAGTAGCTTGGCTTGTTGTTAACTTTTGAATGTCTAGACTGCTAAACTCGTTTAATCCCTGAATGTATACGTTCCCTGTAATTTTCTTTCTTCCCCAAATAGAATTTCCGTATCTCTACGGCACGACGCGACGGTGCAATTAAGAGTTAACGCCCGCGTCTTCACCCCGTCCCATCTCGATTGTCCCAGTGACGCAGTTACTCAGCTCGACGCTCTTTCTGTGTTGCAGGTCTAACGTGCTACACTTGCGTCAACGTCAGCGATAACCAGGTATCGACGACTCCATTAAACGCTCCCTTAAGAGTCCCGTAATGACTCTATCGTGTCTGGTCCAATTTTGTAGAACTCTGTAGATCGTTCCGCCATCGATTTCGGTTTATTCTAAACTCTCCTTATTACATTTCGCTTCATTCCTTTCGTAGTAACGGTCTTATCTCCAATTTCTTTTCGTTTTTAGTCTTTTTCTTTCCAGAAATGTAGTAGTTTATCGTATCACCCGTTGAATCGCAAATATTTGCGGAATATTGACAGAATTTTAAAAGAATGGTACAATGTGTACAGGATAGGGCAATAATTTTATTTATTTGTAATATTTTCGCTATTATATATTAAAAATATGAAAATTTTATTTACAAATGTTATAGTATCGAAAAAATTATAACATGCTGGTAATATTTTTTGGAAGCATTTGGACGCTTTGTATATTTTAAAGTTATCTCCATTTTTTAAATGGAATTACACAATTTTTATTTACATAATATGGTTCTAGTTATTCTACGTATTAAAGTATAAAAAGTAGAATTATAAAAAAATCAATGGTTCATGATGTATTTTGTACTTTATTTTAGTATAGTTTTACATAAAAAATAAAATATCTCGTAAACCATTCTTTTACACAATCATATCTTAATATTTTTATGTATCGAATAACGAGGTGCATCAATTGATGTAAAAATAATTATTTTTTAAAAAAGTAATTATTACAATTAAAAATGTAGTTGTAAATTGTATATTTTGCATATTTTTTAAAAAGAAACTCGTATTTTTTACACAAAGTAAATCATTTTATTATTCTGAATAAAAGCAATAAAAAAATTTATTTAAGGTTTTCAGCACATTAATACCCTTATAATATGATATCGAATCGAATATTGAGAATTTGCTTGTCAATTTAATTTAACTTGTGATATTATTGCAGTAGTTTAATTGCGTTTGATAAAATCCGAAAAAATTTCAGCGCGTAGTTTGAATAACTAAAATATAATATATATGCATGTACATATACAGGATATAGCTAATTCACTGTGAATTATTTAGGCATTGACAAGATCTAGCTTTAACCGTTATAGGTTTGAATATGCTCATACGTATTTAAAAGCACTAAGATATAGTTATAAAAAAAATTAATAATTTATTGATATACCTTTTATTTCGTATTAAATATGCCAGTATAAAATAACTCGTAAATTATTGATTTTTTGTAACTCTACTTCAATACTTCATAAAATAATTAAAGAGAAATCATATTACATAAAAATAATCATATAATTTTATTTAAAAAATAAAGATAATCTTGAAATCTTTCCGAAGCGCTCTTATCCACAGAAAAATTATTATTAGTATATCATGATCCTTTTCTTATCATACAACTTCCATAATTAAAATATTTTCTTATGTCCAAAAATAGTGAAAATGGGTACTCCAGGTGGATCAAGTTATTACCTTATCCTGTATGATCCATAAATGGAAAATATATAACACCGTTACTTTTGATAAATCACAAATTAACGAAAAAACTAATAAGTTTTTACAGACTCCTTTAATTAGAACAATTAATAAAATCATGAAATATGTAATACAGGCAATAGGAGTCGACGCTGGTTATCAATTAGCGCAATTTTTCTTAATACTAAAAATGTAAATCTTAACTTTGAACGTTTCCACTCATGGTCTTCATCAGCAATCTTCATCACCCTAGCGCAACGATTGGAGTATTGCATGACAAAATGATATCTCCAACGTTTTTCATCTAAAAAATTGAACCGTTTACTGTTGTGAGGTAAGTCACATACTCACAAAGTTAGAAAGCTGAGTGGCAATGAGAACTCAAGCTAAAATTATATGAAAGATTAAATTATCGTATGTATAATTTGAAAATTAATAATCACCTCACCTCACACAGTCGACGCTTCTACACTGAACAATGAATCTCTCTTATGTAACATTTTGTAACTCGTTAATATGTTATAAATTATCGTCAAATTTAAAAAAAAATAACTGCGAGAACAATATGTATCTTGTCATTTCGACAGTCGATTAAATAATGATTACTAAACAAGTAACATAGCGGTCAATTTGAAAAGACAAACAAGTTTATGACATATTATATTACGAACAAACCTTAAAGTTTATTGAGAATTTCAATGTACGCATGATTTAAATCAATGGCATTTTGTAGATTCAGCCCATTGGTTTGTCGATTAATATGCTCTGATATTAACTTTTTATTATAATAATTTTCTACATCCATTCCAATATCTCTACGTTTTGCCAATCAAAGTCATGATCGTTTTGCAATCTATGTTCTGTGGTCACTGAATGAGTGGATGTTTTACTATGGATAAGCTTTTTGTGTTCAGAAAGTCTGGTTTTTAATTTTCTCCTGTTTGTCCCACATAGAAAGCATCGCAATCACGACAGTTGATCTTGTAGACTACATTCCTTTTTAATTCATCGTTTAAAGGATCTTTATGAACTTTAATAAATTGATTCAGCTTGTTCAAACTAAAAAATGAAACTCTATGGCAAACCCCATTAACTGCATTCTTGAATTTGTTAGATATCTCTTCCAAATAAGGTATGGAAAACCATTTAACACGTTCTTTAGGTAAATTGTTATTTGTTTTTTTAGATGAACAAGAATTCAATTTATTTATTAATGTTTTAACTCTTTCATTAATATTATCGAATATAAAATTTAATGGATAATCGTTTTCCAAAAGTATCCTAACAACAAATTCAAGATTCTTTTTGTGAAATTGTGGATGTGAGATATAAAAAACTTCATCTACCAAATTGAATATTATGCCCTTCTTTTGCGAGATTGGATGTTGAAACAAAAAATTCAAAAATTTTCCCGAAAACGTTGGTTTTTGATACCAATCAAATATTAATAAGTTATTTTTTTAAATTATAATTGTGTCCAAAAAATTGATAGAATTACCACCCACTTCCAAGGTGAATTGTAACCTTGGATGGAATGAATTGAATTTTTCAAGAATAGAATTTTCAATATTAGAATTCGGTAAACACAGAACGATATCGTCTACATATAAAATGGTATATGATATTGAATATTGCTCAACACCCAATTTTCTAGATCTATCATAACTAAGTTAGCAACAATCGGAGAAAGCGGTGAACCCATAGGCGTTCTAAAAGTCTGTTTGTAAAATTGATTGTCAAAAGAGAAAAAAGTTGAATCCAACACTAGGCGAACAGCTTTGATAAATTCATTTTTCGGTAAATAACAGTTCTTGCAAATAAAGTCCCATCTATTGGAAAGAGCGTCTATTGCTAAATCCGTTGGAATGTTAGTATAGAGTGAAATTACATCCAACGACTAAACTAAAACCATGATCAATTTTAATGATATTACAATTTTGAACTAATTCAAAACGGTTCTCGATGTTACTAGTCGCTTTAGGAATGCTTTTGACAATCAACCTGTGTAAGATCGCTGCCAAATTATATAATGTACTATCCAAAGAGGATATGATGATTCTAAATGGGCAATTTAGTTTATGCACTTTTGGCAACGCATAAGCCCTAGGAATGTTACCATCACTACAATAGAGTTGTTTGTAGGTTAATTCCGAAATGTAATTTTGTTTTTTCCATCCTGCCAACAATTGCCTCGAGTTATTTTACTCGTAAGATTCTTGAGAATTTTAGGTGATTATTAATTTTCAAATTATACATACGATAATTTAATGTTTCATATAATTTTAGCTTGAGTTCTCATTGCTACTCAGCTTTCTAACTTTGTGAGTATATGACTTACCTCACAAAACAGTAAACGATTCAATTTTTGAGATGAAAAACGTTGGAGATATCATTTTGTCATGCAATACTCCAATCGTTGCGCTAGGGTGAATAATTGCTGATGAAGACTCAAACCATGAATGGAAACGTTCAAAGTTAAGGTTTACATTTTTAGTATTAAGAAAAATTGCGCTAATTGATAACCAGCGTCGACTCCCATTGCCTGTATTACATATTTCATGATTTTATTAATCGTTACTTTTACCATTACTTTTATAATAACGATTTAATAATAATTTTGCAATTTTTTTACGGTAACGATAACCAATCTAAATAAGGTTTGAAAAAAGTCACTTTTGAAAAGTAACTCGTCATCATTGTGCGTGATTTATTGAAAAAAAGTAACTCGTTATAAATAAATAAATAACGAGTTAAAAATAACGACTAAAAATATTATGACGACGCGTTACAATTAGTAACGCAAATTACTATTTTTCAATAAATAACCGAGGGGATAACCACTAGCTGAAATATTGTCCCACGTTACATGATTACATGATTTCATTTGATTACAAATAATTTTTTTCACTATTATGAAGTAATTTGATAAAATATACGATTTTATTTAATATTATACAATGATTTCTCGTGGTTGCATATGTAATTATAGGATTATACACAGAGATTTTATATAAATTTTATAATGATTTCAAGGATTCTGCCCCACGATTACATTAAGTGGTTACCCCCTCGTAAATAACGCATAATGGTGACAAGAGATAGTTTTCAAAAATTACTTTCCGACCTCTTGAGTTACCGTTACGTTATAAAAAATTCGCAACGTCATTATATGTTTTCAGTTATATTATCTTTGCATGTATGTAATGTCACAATAATAAAACTCATATTTTTTGCTTTTTTTCGTTTTTCTCATGTATCGAACAATATGTGGTTGATATTGGCAATACAGGGACTTTCATTTTTATGTGGAGATCTTGCATAGGGAATGCTGCTATTTTTATTCTTGCAGATGTGCAACGAATGGGCGATAGATACACCGTGTCCGGTGGGAGGCCGTGATTTTTGTCGATCACTGCACATTCTGGACAGCCGGGGGAACAGTGTCCTGGTAAGCACACTTTTTGTCATTTGCTCCGCTTGCTTGTAAGGACCCGCTTGTATCTTTATCTCTCTTCGATATTCATAAATTTTGTATATCATCGAGTTCACACACACACACACACACACATATATATATATATATATTAGGTATTAAACTGAATTCCTGCCGTTTTTCGTCTCCAAAATTGATTTGTTTCGAAGGGAAATACCTTAATCAAAGTATTATCAATTAGTAATAAAGTAGAAAATGGAGGAAATAAAAAAATATATATATATATATATATATAAGTGTAAAAAATATCAATATATTTTTATATGTATGTGTATATTCTTTTTATCGTGAGCCAGGCGACGAGAACCCTTCGCCCTTAACTTGACATATTTCACTTCAAAGCTGAATATTGCAAGGATACAAAATATAAAATATATGAAAAATATTTTAAACGAAATTGTGCAATGTAAAAAAAAACTTTCTTTTTTATGTATAGCTTTTTTTAACTTAGAAATGCTTATAAATTTCAATGAGAGTCATGTAAAAATATTTTAAATATATTTTCTTATTTTTATATATCCACAATCTTAGCGAATATCGAAGAGTATCAATTGTGAACGTTGTCGGAAGTAATCGCGTTATCGAAACGAAACGAGGCTACAACGAAAACATTGGGGAAAAAACACGAACCAACAATAACAAATCGACTTTCGATCGAAGTAAATTTCATTACCGCCCAACTGTAGTACACGTACAGTCAAATAAAATCAATTAAAGGTTATCGTATGTGGCTAATTGACTTACATTAGGGGAATAATCGATTTTCGGGCTATTAATGAATGAAGTTACGAGAACGGATTCGAGCTTGGACGTCGAGATGGATCGCCCTCTTGAGCTTAAGCGCTCCTAGAGTCCAGTCGATGTACCAACGGATGAACTTTGATGGAACTTTCCACGCTCCGACGCTTGACGACAATAATGCGCGATAATCTAATGTCGGGCATTATCGACGACAAAACTATAACTATCTAGTTTAATACGTTATTCCTAACTTTCCAATTTGAAATTGATACTATGAGAGAATATTAAAGATATGAATAAAAATTTTTGTTCTGTACCCATCTTTTCTATTTTGTTAAATAACTGTTTTGAAAATAAAGTAAGTGCATTATTTCAAGCTATATCATAAATGCTTAATAATGTTTCAATGTAAATTTATACACATACATATCTAGTTCTGTACTCTTTATGATACTACTTTAAGATACTTATTAGTATCAATATCATTGCTGTCAATTTAATTTGTGATATTATTATCTCAGTTTAGGATTGCGTTTCGAGACTGAAAATTAAATCTCCGCGTGCAAACACAGGGAAGTATTCCTCTCTAATTTTGATGAACTTTAATGTTGTTGTCTAGACCAAAATAAGGAGAGAGAGAGAGAAACAGGTATTTTTTGTCCATGTACATTTTTAAGGTTGTATTCCCGTGGATATGCAGCAGATGCGAAATAGCGAATTTTGTCATGTACCCGGAGGGAAGTTTCTCGAACATTTTAACCAATCGATTAGTTTCTTTTGAAATGAATATCATCGAAATTGTGAAATAGAAAAAAATTTTTTAATAAAAGTTCAATAATTTCAATAGTATTTAAAAACATTCAAGAATTTATGTAATAATGGTAAAACTATTTTTAATAAAAAATTTTTGTTTGTAAAAAGTAAAAAAATTTTATCATTATTATAAAATACTTTTAAAATTATTCAATTATTATTACAAAAAATTGTTTTATTTTTCATAATTTCGATGATAACCGTTTTAAAAAAAAATAACAATTTTTTTCTTCAAAAAGGTATTTCACTCCTAAAAATGAATATGGGCAAGTGAAAAAAGATATATACGTGTTTATTAATATTCTCTCATATATCAATTTCAAATTGGAAAATTGGAAATAACTTATTAAACTAGATAGGGTAACTCCGGTATATATGCCGCGCTGGGATTTACGCCGCGGAAGTCAGAAAAAATAGAAGGAGTGGGGATAATTTTCTCACAACTACTCTGTTACATGTCTTTATGTTATATTAGTATTGAGTTATAATTTCAGCTTGTTACTGTTAATATTAATGAAATTATTGTGAGTTGAATCGATTTGTCACTTTGTGTGTAACAAGTAGCATCATCATAAATTATAATCTACATAAAATGATTACTGTAAGGCGTGTAAAATACCTAGTGGTTATTTCGTGATACATACGTGTAGAGGAATAGTAAAGCATGTTGTATAGCAAAATACAAGTGCTTTGCTTTCGTATTCTTTGTTTAGTTTGTTGAAACCCTTACATTTTTGCCATATATCTCACCCATTATCTATATATAGCAAAAATCCAAGGTTTCAAAAAGTTTATTTTTTAATACGAAAACTAGATATTTCGGATTTCTAATATTTTTTTCATACTAATAAACAGTACAAAGTTTTTACTGATATAGTCCGTTTATTTTAAACATAGTAAATAATACTTAATAAATTAAGTTTTTGATAGGTGCGGCGTATATACCGGAGTTACCCTATAGTTTTTCGTCTTTTATTTCGATCTAGACTACATCATACAATATTAAAAGTTCATTAAAATCGAATGAGACTTCCTAGTGTTTCCTTGTGTTATTTACATATCCATCTAATATCACTCATTGTTCTTTTTTTTTTGGAAGTATTTATATATTATATTCATCGCGTGATGCAGATTGGATCAGTTATTGCTTCCAGTCCGGAAAAATTTCAACGTCTGTAGAACCTTTATGATGGCGCTCATTCACTCGTTACCTTTGCTTCCTTCCATTCCAGGTAAGCAAGAGTTGCGCCAACAGCGAGGAATGCGGGCCAGCATCGGTCGGTTGTATTCCCGTGGATACGCAGCAGGTGCGAAATAGCGAATTTTGTCATGTACCCGGAGGGAGGTTTCTCGAACAATTCAAACGAGGCCAAAGACAAAAGAAAACAGAGAAACGAAATGCCAAAAAAAAAAAAAAACAATATAGAAACACAAGAGAGAAATACCGACGGAACCGGGTGAAATAAATTCGGTTATTTCGTTTCAGATTTGCATAAGTTGCTGCGACCTGAGCTACTGCAATATCGAGTCGCCCACCAACGCAACCAACGCGATCTATTCCCGTCAACGACGCGCCAAGTCGAAATCGAAGCGCAAACGGCCCGGTAGAAACGGAGTCGATGCGGCGACACGACTCTACGGATCCAGCTTGCTCTGGCTTCCCGCCTCGCTCTTCTATGCATATCATTGCTGAGGAAGTAGTAACACTACTTACTAACCGCGCACGCGAAGTGGACAGCGCGGAAATCGCGCGAAAATCGCACGATGCGACGCGACGGTACCGTCGCGTTAAACGGCGTGACTCGCCGATCTCTCTCGATCGAACGTTCTTTCCTTGATTTTTTTCTGTAGTGTCACGCTCGCCTAAATAACCGACGCCGCCGTCTAATTCCGACCAAACTTTCTGACAAACTTCCGCGGAATCGTAGGAAATCTATTTCGTGTTCGATTTTCCACGCTCGCCGAGACTAATCCCGGCAGCGATTAGCGTCCAATTATTTGGAAAGAAAACGCTGTCCCTCTATTTTTCATACTCTCATTTGGCATCTTTGTCGCCATTAACTTTAATAAAAATCACGAATTTTGACATACATACCTTGTATACGTCGATTGAACGCTTGTGCTACGAGCACGCCAGAGAAACGAGATGTTTGGGAGTAAAGCGTCCATAAGGAATTGTTTGGGAGTAATTCCAGAAGAGGTTCAGAGGAACAAGATCCGTAGAAAGAACGATCGAAAAACTTGGCGCCGTTCCGCGCTGTCCGAAACGTTATTAATCGGGGACTCTCCGAACTAATCGGGTCCCTCGTGATGGCAAAAGGAATTGTTTTCTTGTCGTAGTATCGGTAGTCGCTATGCCTCGAAGTAGAAGGAACTTAAGGCACAAAGAGTACGCGGTCGAAGGAGACTTGAAGAAAATCGATAAATCCGAATTCGTTTCCGGCAAGACGACAATCTAGACATTACTACGTAATAGAGTCGATCACTAATCACACGAACATGTAGTTTTATCACGACAACCTATATCCTGCTTACTTGACGTTCTTTCGCGAAATCAGAAATTAAATAAAATGTGTAATTAAAAGTAATTAATTTAGAAAGTATGATAATAAAGTATACTACTCTAGACAAATAAAAAAAAACATTTAATATATTTAATTAAACTGATTTCTCTCTTGATATCAAAAATATTTCGCGTGCGTATGTTTCATTTAATCGCAACAGAAAATCGAACGGATAAAATTATTTTATATCACGTGTGACTGGTGGTTAATACGTTAAACGTGGAATATTTGTTGCAATTAAGGACATAAAATTGATCAAAGTAATCATTAAAATTCGCTCCATCGAAACTTTCGGCATAAATTTACTAATACTACGGTAATTGTATAGCACCGCGGTTTGTAAGTGATGCACCAGAAGCGAATTCGAATTATCGAACAAAAATTATATTCACACATCTACAAAACTCGCCTACTACAGACTCTTTAATGCTATTATAATTATTAACGATTACATAAATATTATATATTACGATATAGATACTATACATTGTTTCGGCATGTAAGAATACTGTTGGTAATGAAATAAAGAAAATTATACTTGTCACGTCCTTTCATTGTCTATATTAAATACTGAATTACCCGCTCTTTTACATCCGCACTTTATTTATTCATATAAATTTAAATACACGCGAGAGCTTTTATTTTATTCATTCCATTAATTTTGATTTACAGGCTTTGCGGCTTTGTAAAGCGGATTAAATTCTGGATTGTGAAATATCGCAATTTCGTCGAACAATACTGACTCCCCACAAATAATAGAATAAATTGAATAAATGTACTCACCGAAAACGTAGCGCCACCGCAACAACTTCTACCATCAGCTGTTCCATCGGTGTTAATTTCTGCTTGAAACGCTTTAGCCTCAGGTCCATCAAGTCACGTAGATGCGAGTGGAAACCGCATTTAATTGCAATCGTGCACACTGATGAACCCTTTCGAACATAGCGTATCATCTTCGATGCGTTCGAGGTTGACGAACTAATGGTATCCTGCGCATCAATAATTATTCGAAGATTACATCATATCTCTTTGAGAATAAACAAAATTATTTATTTTTATTCATTTTATTTTCCATAGACCGTATACATATTATATAATGATATTTTAATATATATTTTAATATTGTTTTACTTGTGATAAATTATGCATAAACTATATTACATATAAATTATTATACATATATTATTAATAAAAAATAGGAGCCCGCGTGATTAATACGGCAGGCATTATGTAAACATTAGCCCCATTGACATTGCCGACTTCGACACGAATGGGAATTGAACTGAACCATACCATTACGTGGCCGAGAAAATGCGGTTAATTATGCGCACGCCAATTAACACGCCATAACGATCGCCCTTTATCACTCCATTGTTCATTTTTGATTAATAATGCAGAACGGTTTGATTTTGAATCGATATGACTAAATTTCACAAATTTACTTGAATGTCACGCTAATTAGTCTTATCTACTTTAATTGATTCACTATAAAGGGTCCTCTACATAGAAGTCGTAGATGGTCGTGGAGTCTTAAGTAGTAGGAAATCAACCAATCACAATCAAATATAAGGAGAATACTCGATTAGAATTGGTCAGTTTCCTACGACTTCTATGTAGAGGACTCTTAACGGATCGAGTCATTTATGCGCTCACAGCTGTTTGACTGTTTATGCCTCACGGGTGTAAATTGTGCGGATATACAACAAATCACAATTTTACGCGCTAATCAGTGCATTACATTCAAAATACCAATTGCAAAGTATACTTTTGTACCACGTAGAAAACGCAAACGATGCGGAAAAATTTTGCAGCGACCGTTCTCTGATGCGAGAAATCATACGAAATACAATATACATGTGCCTACAGCACCTTTTGCCTACATCTCTTTTGCCTAGAAATCGATTGCCTACATGTATTATTGCCTACAGCTCGATTGTCTACATGCACTTTTGCGCACAAATAAATATTTTGGAAACGGAGTTACTTTTGCCTACATGTATTACTGCCTACATGTACTATTGCCTACAAGTATTATTGCCTACAGCTCTATTGCCTACATGCACATATATGCATGTATGTATATATATTACGTGTGTGTTGATATTACCACATGGAAAGAACGGTTTTTCTTGAAGTATCTAAAAATTTAAGTATCTAAGTACAAACCTGAAAATAATTTTGTTAGACTATCAAAATAATTATAATATATAGGACGCTCAAGCTGGTTGCTAGAATGTCAATTTTTTTAACATTGCTCATACTTGAATTTCCTACATAATTATTTTAATGATCCAACAAAATTATCTTCAGATTTCTGTCTCCAGCAAAATTGTTGTTTACATGTACGTATTTTTATTTACATTAATTTCAAGACCGATTAAAATTCAATTATTACACTGAAAAAAAAATATAGTAAATTTTAATAAATATTTAGTTGAATACTGCCAACTAAATATTTATTAAATATAAAGATATATTTATTTGATACAAGAAATGTTAATTTGATTTAACAATAATTTTTTTTACTGGACAAATATTTATTTACTGTAAGTAAATGTTTAGTTGGCAGTATTGAACTAAATATTTATTAAAATTAACTAAATTTTTTTCTCAGTGTATAAGTGATAATCGTTGCAACCATAATATTAACTACTATTACTACTACTAATTACTATAAAATATCTCAATTAATATTACTCTTATATTAGGTGTTAAATTTAATTCCTGCCGTTTTTCATCTGTAAAATTGATTCGTTTCGAAGGGAAGATGAGTGAATACCTTAATCAAAATAATTTCCTCCATTTTCTACTTTATTACTAATTAATAATACTTTATTAATAATACTTTGATTAAGGTATTTCCCCTCGAAACAAATCAATTTTGAAGACAAAAAACGGCAGGAATTAAGTTTAACACCTAATAAATATGACAACTCCACAATTATAATTTTTATTATAATTACTATTACAACTCTGTTTCATACTTCTAATAGTTCTCTAATCTATAGAATAATTAAACAATAATCGTAGCTATATACATATAGAATCATCATATCAGGATCACTGCCGATTATTATTGCATATTTCGATTAATTCGTGCGCATATAGGTTTAACCACAGCATAAGCTATTGACTGTACATGTAATATGTATGCATTAAGGATACCAATTACCACTGCGTCTATCAATTAATTTATGCCTGTAATATTTATGCCTGGAAAATAACAACTACAATATTAATTACATGACTGTGTACATAGCATGTATGTGTATTAGCACTACACAATACTAAAATTATACTAATTAAAATTACCTTAGTAAGTCAGGCATGTAATATTATAGAAATAACAAATGCAATATTAACCATTTTACAATATAAATCTGCACAAAAATACATACATTTAGATCACAGCCAACACATAATTTCGCAATTATTTTTAATTATTACTGTTTACTTCGATTTGACTCATGCATACATTATTTTGTAAACGTAACGACTAGCTACACTATTTCATAATTTTAATCCATAGAATATTAAACAGTAATCGCGGCCAATAAAATATCGTGATTACAGTTAATTATCATATTATCATGTGCTTCTATTTAATTCATGCATATATAATTTAACAAGCAACATAACTACCATAACATTAACTACAGCTATTTCATATTCTAATTTCCAAAATAGTAATCGCGGCCAACATAGAATACCACAATCATTGTTAATTACTATCTCGTATTTCGATTAATCCATGCATGTATAATTTTATAAACATAATAACAGTACCAATAATAATAAGCTATTTCGTATTTTTAATCTGCAGAACAACTGAACAGTCATCGTGGTCAAGATAGAATATCGTAAAATTATTACTAATTATTAACACATATCTCGATTAATACACATGTAATTTTCTAAACACAACAGTAATAATCACAAGGTCAAGTACAGCTATTTAATACTTTTAGTTATAGAATGACTAACAATGATCACAGTTAACACGGAATATCGTAATCATTCATTCACCGTTAATTACTATTTAGCATGTGTCTCGATTAATTCATGTGTACACATAATTTTTTTAAGAATTGTAATGATCGCATATTAATTATAGCCTATATACACATATTATATATTAAATCTACATATTAACACATTATTAGCTACCAATTACTTAATTACTAGCACATGTTTATTAACTGATGCATATATAATATTATAAAAGTAATAACATTAACTATAGCTACTTCTCGTTTCTAATCAAAACAATTAAACAGCGATCGTGGCAAACTAGAGTATCGCTGCAAATTAAGTTTACTTTCGATTAAAGGAGTTTTCTACTTTATCATATTGTTCTTAAAGAAATTTTTAAGAATTTTTTTGGAAAAGTGTTTGGTAAATATTTTTTGAAATTACTTTTTGTTCTTTATTTATTATTATTTAAAGATAGATCTGCTACTTTTTTCTATAAAATATATGAAAAATTTACAAATTCATTAAATTTTTGTGTATACAATGGTGTACGGTTCATTCTGCAATCATGATTCCGGATTCTCAATGGATTAAAATTACAAAATAAGAAATTATTTTAATAAAAATATTTACTGCTACCGTCGGAATTAGAACTAATTATTTCACATAATAAATAAAGAGAGGGCTTCTTTTGCTTACAAATTGATTGCCTGCAGCACTTTTTGCCTACATCTCATTTGCTTATAAATCGATTGCCTACTTATTGCCTACAGCTCAATTGCCTACATGTACTTTTGCGCACAAATAACAATATTAGAAACGGAGTTATTTTTGCCTACATGTATTATTGCCTACAGTTCGATTCCCTACATGTATTATTGCCTACAGCTCGATTGCCTATAAGCACTTTGGCGCACAAATATAAAATTAAAGTTAAGTAAGAAAATAATTTCTATTTTTAGGAAATCTGTCATGTGAACAGTGGGGTGTCAGCGTAGACAGTGTCCACTTGGAATATTTTTCCAAAAAAATCTAACCCTAACCAAACCATTTGTTGGTGTGAGGTAGCCCTCATTTCGCATGGAAGGTTGTGAGCTGTAGGCAATAATGTATGTAGGCAATGATACATGTAGGCAATCGAGCTGTAGACAATAATACATATAGGCAAAAATTCATGTAAGCAATAATACATTTAGGCAAAAGTAACTCCATTTCTAAAATTTTTATTTGTGTGCAAAAGTACATGTAGGCAATCGAACTGTAGGCAATAACACATGTAGGCAATCGATTTGTAGGCAAATGAGATGTAGGCAAAAGGTGCTGTAGGCAATCAATTTGTAGGCAAACGGGGCCCTCTCCCATAAATAAATAGTCTTTGTTTATTTAAAAAGTCCAGTTTTCATATTTTTATGTTTAGGAGCCTTGAAAAAATAGAAAAAATTAAATTATCAAGATAATTTTAGAATTTTCGACGATAACCGCAAAAGTCATAATTAAAATGAGGTCATTTTTTATTTCAATCCACTGAGAAATTTAAAATCATGGCCAAATAAACCGTGTACGATATACAGAATACACGATATACAGAAACGATATACAGTATGATATACGCGATATATATAGAAATCAAACGAATCTGTTAACTATTCGAATATTTTTTATAAAAAATAGCATATCTGTCTTTAAACAATAATAAATAAAGAACAAATAATTTTTGAAAAATATTTACTCACTTTTCTAAAAAAAAAAAACATTTCTAAAAACCTTTTAAAAAATAGCGCGATAAAGTATATAAAATCCTTTTAACTCATGCACATAATCAACCTATGAAAATATTTGACGAATGATACTACGATTGCACGGAAATCATTTGACATAACTATCGCATTACCGACACAATATACTGTATTTTTGCAAACAATTTTGTCTGGTACTTAATGCTATCGCATGAAAATGACTTGAAAAAATTAATGTATTAAGATCGATATTATATTCATATATAATATGATATTGAGGCCAATATTCATTCGGCTCTTATATTTAAGATTGTCTTCAGTATAGTCTTAAGATATCATCAGGAGCCGTATTAACATCTTAAGACATTCCTTAAAATGATCTTGAAAAAAGAACAAATTATGAGCATGAGCCAAAGGTTAAATTTGAATTTATAGAAAACTTATATCATATATAGATTTAAAATACAAAAAGTAACGGTAAAAATAACTGTAAAATTCGTTACTGTTATAAAAAAAAAGGTAATGTCAATACATTTCCAAAAAAAAATAATTATAACAATAACTGAGATAGTACGGAGAATTCCAAAAGAATTCAATCATATATCATTAATTCCGAGTTCGTTTTTAGATGCAAAAAATATTCTCTGCAAAACTTTTTTTAGAAAAAAATTATATTTGCATCTAAAAATAAATTCAGAATTAATGACATATGACTGAATTTCTGTATTATCTGGGAACAACGTTACAAGTAACGAGTTTATTTCCAATCTCTGCAATAACATTTCAATTAACACTTTTCAATTAAACATAACTGCTATAATAGAAAAAGTCACAGCAAAGTAATATCACAACAAAGTTATGATAACATGCAAACATCAGCTTTGACACATGCAGATATAATATCTCTATATCATTATGAAGCTGTTATAAAACTGCACCTCAATATTGCTATGACACAAATTAAGATATGTCACTGTGACTTTTTTCGACCACTTCACAGTGATCACAATATAGGCTGTGTTCCAAAATTCACTGACAGCGCTGAAAATCTACACTGGGTGCGTTCCGTTACTCGCATGATGCGCATAATGCATCGTTTATCTTTGTTGCTCACCAAATGTTAAATAAGGACAATGGATGCATCATGCACATCATGCGCGATACGGAACGCACCTGAGAAAAAAGTTTTGTTGATATATGACCAACAAAAAGTTTTTCGTTGTCCTAACCAAAATTTGGTTATTCTAACCAAATTTTTGGTTAGGACAACAAAGTTTTTGTTAGAATATGTGACTAATAAAAACTTTTATGTTATTCTAACAAAAAATTTTGTTAGCATAACTAAATTTTGGTTAGGACAACGAAAAACTTTTTGTTGGTCATATATCAACAAAACTTTTTTCTGAGTGTACAGTTTACGTTATATATACTGTACTTTTTCAGCACTGACAGTAAATTTTGGAATATAGCCTTAACCATGACTATTGTAAGTTTATTACTGTGACATGAATGTGACTTTTTTTACTATAAGAAAATGGATGTGAGTGTAAAGCCTCGATATCGTACACTGAGAAAAAAGTTTTGTCGATATGTGACCAACCTCAACTTTTTTGTCGTCTAACCAAAAATAGAATAATCAAATTTTTGGTTAGAACAACAAAAAAAGTTGAGGTTGCTCACATACCAGCAAAACTTTTTTCTCAGTGTAAATACTGAGATTTCTGCCACTAAGTTTTACCTTAATAAGTTCGCCGCAACAATCAATCATATCCTTTTGCTGTATTCGACTGATTCCACTGTTTTTTTTCCGAGCATTGCCATAAATCACGCGATCGTCTCGGTTGATCTCGGTTCGTTAGGTAAGTTCGATTACCATAATAGAAAAGGATCGCAATTTGGCGCGGGTGCTGAGAATCGAAAAGAGATGGATTTACGATTGGAAATACGGTTATGTCTCGCCCGAACACATCACGATGACGTCCGGTGTCCTACGTGATAGTCTCGATGCTGATTTATGCGCAAAACATTTTCACAGGGCAAAAATCGCGAATATTTAATGCTTTACGATTTCGCAACGGCCATTCTCGGCGCGAAACCGCGTGAAGTATGACGCGCGTATGCGAGTCGCTCGCCACCCGCGTTAGTTTTGCTCGGCGCGATATTTGAATACACTTGGGCCCATATTCAGAACGCGCTTACAACGATGTTAGCACGCTAACATACCATACTTTACGTCACGCATATTATAGAATTTCAGAGATAAAAGTGCGCTTTTATCGATAAAAGCGCGTTCTGAATACGGGCCTTGGAATTTAAGTTTATATACATCTATAAGTAATTATTTAGAATAACCCCTCTCCCCACCTCAAATCTTAATAAAAATACACTTATTCGACGTGTTTTTACTCAAAATGAAAGAATCTGGTAAAAAACGCGGCGGTCGGCCTCGTGAATCGAGTTATAAGCGTTAAAGCTGGAGACTTTAGAGGTTAAAATATTTGTCATCTGACTTTTTGTCAGATTCTTTCGTTTAGAGTGAAAACACGTCGAATAGATGTATTTTTGTTAAGATTTGTGGCGGGGAGGGGGGGAGTATTCCAAATAATTACCAATATATATAATTAATAGCAAGTAATTAACGACTACGCTCGCTAATGTGTTATATATACGGCGAGAATGTTGGAATTACACCAAGATAAATTGTAATGTAAATTTGAATGAAACAGAAATTGCGGTAATTCATATATATTATTTATACATACTTGATAAACGGAGTACATTGTAACCGACCTGCGGTATAGCGGACACTGCATTACCAACACAAACTATCGCTTATGCAATATACGATATACATATGTATGCATATACCTAACAATTTGAATATAATGTTCACTGAATTGTATGCTTTATGTCCAATTCTATCAATGTAGATTAACTTTAATTTTTGTTTAACTTACTTTTTATTCTTTTCTATATATATTTTAAAAATTAGAAAGAGCTAAGTAAAAAATGATTAAATCGAGATTAATATTAAATTCTCTTGAAAGAAATAGATATTAATTAGATAAATGCAGTTGAATATACGATATTGTCACTTCTATTCCCAGATAGCACAAAAAAATCTCTGCAGTCGTATATCATCAATTTCAAATTCATTTTCAGATGCAAAAAGAATTTTTTTTAGAATTTTTCAGAAAAAGAATTCTTTTCGTATCTGAAAATGAATTCTAAATTGATGACACAATTAATTACAACTAAATTTTTTTTGAATTCTTTTTTGTGCTCTCTAAGTTATATGAAATATATAAACGCGAAATTTGCTCTGATAAAAATTTTTATGAAATTGTAAAAAAATTTTGAACTTACATAAAAATTCTAAAAAATTATATGAAAAGTTCTAAAAAAATTTTTACTAGGTGATATTCATAGCTTGATTCATTTTTCTTAAAAAAAAGAAGAATGAGACAAAGAACGCAATAAATCCTTGCGTGCTTCTTGAATGCAAAATATCTTAATTAAATAATTCTTTTCAAACGTTTTAAATTTCGAATATTATAAATAACTAACCTTGCATATGTATACGAGAGGTATACAGATGACGTCCGAAATAAGGAGCGTATGCGTCTGCTAATGCATGCGTCATCGCGCATGCGCGGAATTGGTTCCTCCATCGGCTCCATCTGGATACATTTTCTAGCAGCGTCACTGTACGCCGCGCGACAAAAATCCATATTAAAATGGAGGAGAAGAGTCAGGCCGCGGAGCGAGAAACCAAGAAGGATGAAGCCCACGAGAAAGATGCGCGAAATAAGAGGTACGGTCGCGGACGAACGTCATCATCCATCGAGGGATCGCGGATTTGTTTGCGGCACGATTACAACGAGGCTTGCTCCGCACTTCACCGCCCCGTCTTAACCTATATTCGTTTGACGAATACCCGGTGGACAGTTCGCGCCGCGTAATTCTTCTAAGTTTTTTTTAAAAGCAATTCTTCGATCGCGATTCGGCGTGGAACGTGAGCCTTCTCGAGTCGATTATGATTCGGATACTTTTCGGAACGATTCCTTCGGTCTATGTCACTCTCTCCTGTCAGTGGCTTGTAATCGTGTCATTGCGATGTAATTTGTTTCATCGACGATGCATATCTAATCAATACACCAAGGAGTTGTAGCGCTATGCTTTTTAATTATTACTTTTATACACGTATGTACAAATAAACGAAATTGAAATTTATGGTCGATATTTATATTTCATTTTTATCAATAGATGTGCGCATTTAGAATATAGTTTGCGTTACATATACTATAGAATCTCCGAAATAAATGTACGCATTTATCTATAAAAGTAAGATACGAGTACAAACCACAAAATTTACTTTTGTTTATTTATGTGTGTATTAAATATATATTTCTTATGTTTTTATGTATTTTTTGTCATTTAATATATATATATATTTTTTTTTAATTTTTGTTATATATATCTCATAATTGAGTCTTAAATGTCTAAAATTATTAAACATATCCTTTAGCTGTTTATCATTGTAAATTATTTGTATTGCGTTAATAAACTTGTTATTTTACCATAGTTCCAAGAAGAGAGAAGCTCGGAAAAAAAAGAAAGAGGCGGCGCATGCAGCTAGTGAAAATCACAACAATAACAAGGAGGAGAAAGAAATGCCTAGCGCGTGCAATATCTCTATAAAGGATATTCAGATGGCAATGGAAGTATTCAATATACAACAAAAACCTGCCAAAACTCAGGAGGAAGCAATGCAAAAGTCTTATCAATTTTGGAGCACACAGCCTGTACCAAAAATGGGTGAGCTATTAAATCACATAAAGATTTATTTATTTTGTATTATTTTTTCTAAATTTATGTTATTGATTCCAGATGAAAAAATTGTACGCAACGAGCCAATTGAGCCTGATAAGACATCTGTTAGAGCAGAACCATATTCGCTACCTGCAGATTTTCAATGGGATACTTTGAATTTAGATGATCCTCTGGTTTTATCGGAACTGTATACGTTACTCTCAGAGAATTATGTCGAAGATGACGATGCTATGTTCAGATTTGATTATCCACCAAATTTTTTGAAATGGGCGCTGCAGCCTCCTGGCTGGTGCAAAGAATGGCATTGCGGTGTGCGAGTGAGCAAGAGCGGACGTCTAGTCGGTTTTATTTCCGCTATTCCAGCCACTTTACGCGTCTATAATCAGTAGGTATCATACGCTTGCATAATTGCTCACTTCGCAACATAATGCTTTAAAAATGTTTTCAGTACTCAGAAAATGGTGGAAATCAATTTTCTATGTGTGCATAAAAAGCTAAGATCGAAGAGAGTAGCACCTGTGTTGATACGCGAAATTACGAGGAGAGTAAATCTGAAGGGCATCTTTCAGGCCGTGTACACTGCCGGAGTCGTTTTACCAAAACCTATCGCTACATGCAGGTCAGTATAGAGAAAAGTATACGAGCACTTTGCTTGACTAACTGTAAATTAATTGACATGTATGTATTTAGGTACTGGCATCGATCATTGAATCCAAAGAAATTAATCGACATCAAGTTCTCTCATCTTACTCGCAACATGACGATGCAGAGGACTTTAAAGCTATATAAACTGCCAGAGAATACAAAAGTACCGGGTTTCAGAAAATTGGTTTACACAGATATACCACAAGCGCATAAGATATTGACGGAAGTAAGTATAAAGCCTGAACTTTTCGGCACATTCGATCGTCATACTCTCCATTCCTAATATAAAAAAGAGAAAAAATTCTATTTTTGGAATCTTGATTTAATAGAACTTGTATGCAAATTTTTAAATATATTCTTACTGCACACTGATTCAGTTAATTGGATTTGAAATATATCTGCATATTTGAGTATTATTAAACCAAAATTTATTTTGACCCAAAATAGGATTTATTTTTGTCGGTTTAATTTCCACTTGTAATTCTTCATCTTTAATATTTATATTTGTATTACAGTATTTGGAAAAGTTCGATCTTGCTCCAGTATTCTCAGTCGAAGAATTCGAACATTGGTTTCTGCCGCAAGCTGGTATTATTAACAGCTTCGTCGTGGAGAAGGAAGGAAAAATTACCGATATGGTGAGCTATTATACATTGCCGAGTTCCATTATGCATCATCAAACGCACAAGACCCTTAAGGCTGCGTATAGTTTCTACAATGTGTCTACCACGACACCATGGCTCGAACTAATGATGGATGCCTTAATATCAGCGCGTGACGTAAGTTTATTTCCTACATCTACCGCACTTTTCAAACAAGAATCAAACGTAACATGAGTTCTTCGTTTACAGTTGGGTTTTGATGTGTTTAACGCATTGGATCTCATGGATAACAAGGAGTTCTTAGAACCCCTCAAATTCGGGATTGGCGATGGCAATCTTCAATACTATCTATACAATTGGCGTTGCCCCAGCATGACACCTGGCAAGATCGGTCTTGTGCTCCAGTAGACTTCTAGTTAAAAAAAAATCGCTGTTTAGAGAAAGAGAGAGGACATCTTTTGCATGTGTGATCTCACACAAGAGATTAAAAATAGCGATTAAGTATGAGCGAACAGAGGATATATAGCAACGCAATAAAGACAGCGTTGTTAAACGGGGATAAGGACAACCTTAATCTTTCTTACCAATAGGAGTATATAAACGTAATTGCGACGGTCAAAGGGAATTCGAGATTTCTTGTAGAATCGTCACTCAAATGAATAACTCAATTCCTCGAAAATCGCTCTTGGTTTCGTCATTGGCGCCTTTGAAGACTCTAGATTGAATTATATACGATCGGGACTATAATGAAAATTGTGCAGCATTGTACAGCGCACGTGTATATACGTATCTGCGTAACTCGAGCAAATGTAGATAAGCATTATGCAATTAATAGCAATTATGCGGGAAGCCATCCCGCATCATCGGAGAATTTTCGATTTTCAATCATGTAAGCCTTTAGACGCCAGATAACTATCCGTTTTTTCCTTTACACCTCGGCTAATTAGACAACATATGCCGAAGTATGAGTGACAGACAAGTTAAAAATAAAATGACATTTATTGAAAATAATTGATTTTTACTTTTTCTTGCTATTTCTAATTTGTATTTTGTCCTCATTAACTACCTGTCCATATTCACATAAGTAAACTATTTATATTCTGAATAACGTTTTTCATGTTATTAATTATTAACAACCTATGCAACGACTGTAAAACTCACAATTTTATAATACAAGATTCATTTCTAGCTTTGATTAGATATACGAAACACGTGTAAAGAAACCAGTCTCGTGTAATATCAAAAAGAGAAACCTTTGATTGCAATGTTAAGTATATTCTTTTATTTTTTCAACCCCATTTTAAGAAATTAATAGCTCTAATAAAAAGAAAAATTTATGTATCTACAATTATATCGTTTTTTATTCCAGTGGGTTTAAATCGATCCGAGGTCAATTAATGATGTCACATGCTCTACTTTAGATTCCTGATTGGACGAATTTACAGTAGCACTTCTGGGTTAATCGATTTCCGATTGATTCAAACCGACTATGATAAAAAACGCTATTAGAGATAAAAAAAGTTTTTTTTATTTCAGAGTAAGAAAACACACAGGTTAAAAAGCTTATTACATATTTCAATTTATGATTGTGTTTCAAATTCAACAAATCGAATCGACGCAGTCTATAGATTATAGAACAATAATTATATTTGTATATTCATATATATATATATATATATTTTAATATTACTAAGCACTAAGATCTTGCTTTGACTGAAAATTTTCTTTCTTCTCTCTTATTTGTGTTTATACACACATGAATGCTTTTTCAGAAAATTATACAATGCAATTCCGAAAGCACCAAGTTTTATTTCGCAGTGATGTTTACATGAATTCGCACGGAATAATTACGTCATATAAATACCTATCTATAAATTTTCTATTTTTATGGTAATAGAAAATACTTGATAAAAAATTGAATTCTTCCATATGTTGTGCTCTCAAGGCACAAAGATCGCGCAACAATATATCTTTTTTATCATTATCGTGAACGTCGTGAGTAAACCATCGCATTACCGCCTACCGCATGGCCGACGAACAAGAGTTCCGTATCGTGCATGATGTGCATGATGCATCCATTATCCTTGTTTTAACATTTGGTGAGCAACAAGGATAAACGATGCATTATACGCATCATGCGAGAAACGGAACGCACCCAAGGTCTTTTTGAAGATAACAGAGAAAACCTGGCGATGTACCCGTAACGATTAACCGGTTAAAATTTACATTTCGCTTTTAGATAGGGAGGCGACGTCCGAGTAACGACGGTCCTTCGATAAGTTTACAGACCCGTCGTATGTACAAACGATCGATCAATGACGTTGAGCAGACAGAAGGACGCGGATGGCGTTCTACCTTGAACGAATATATTATACATACAAACAGTCCATCGGACGATATCGCTGACGATCGGCAGATATGGGCCGAGCATAACTACTACTTGTTTACAGCCGCTTTTTTCTAGTAGCGCGAAATTTACATCTAAATATATTCAAATTCCTAGTGAAACTGATGTGAACGTACGTCGGCCCTTAGTTAATGCAACGGGGCTAAACGACGGTCAGAAAAACTGAGTCAGGGATACAATAAATAGGGGCTTGCTGTAATACTTGCGAACGTGACGTGGTTTTCTTATAAGGAAGCCAATATGGTCTAACAAAATTGTAACCTTCATTAATTTTTCTTATCCTAAAAAAGTAATATTTATATACTAAATAATATTATAACGTTTGAATGTGGTGTAACGTTTTATATATACAAATATTTATGAATTGAATAATTTATTAATCGAATCTTGCAATTTTTATGTATTATATTTTTATTTATGGGTTTTTAATGCTGCAAATATAAAAAAAAATTTACAATATAAAGTAAAAAAGAAGTACGTTTTATCAAAGTCACGTTTTTCCATTAAAATTTCTGCAATATATGAATTGTTTCTGATAATAACAAAAATATGATATTTTATAGTATGTCAAATATTTATACCATATCAGTAAATAATTGCAAAAACATATCTCTTAGCGCACATCATTTATTGAAATTACATTTTTTTCATTACCAATACTCTTACTACAATAAAATATTTCTTGCGACCGCAAGAACCTCGAAGAAATTCCTCTTGTATGAGGTGGTCATCTGATCATGATCTTATTAACTACTTGTTAACTCTGATCGCTTTAAAGTGACGGAAAGTTTTTCATCATGGAAATAAAGAGAAAGACAATGTTTCTTTCACGAGAGAATGCATCGTGTTACATCATCCAGAAAGTTCCTGACCAGACATGCTTGTATCGATCTCAGGTCGTGTTAATGGTAATGTCGATAGATGCTCATCGAGCGCAATATAGTTACTCGCGGGCACACACGTGCCCTTTGTACTGCGGCATAATAATAAGCAAGAAAAGAGAAAAAACGAGGAGAGGGATACGTGCAAAAAGCGGAAACGTCGAATCATCGAACAATACCCGGAGCTAGATAACACTACGAGGCGTGGACGAACAGGAGTAGGTGGGGAAGACACGAGAGACACACGATGTGAAATAAATACTGGTCTGAAATCGAGCGGAATTCAGTCTCATGCTTAGTGTACTAACAACGCAAACGTCTCATCACTGTGAAAGAAACTCCTCTCGCAGAAGTTCCAATTGTTTGGCATCATCTTACCAATTATTAGTGGCGCGCCTCGATACCGCAAAACTTCCGAGACGTTTGAACTTAGTTTGTAATTAACCAACGAGAGGCTTTGTCGAAGTTTGTATTCTACTCCAAACTTGGATCGGGCTATCACGATGCTACTTCGATATTCTCTGATCCTTGCCTTCGCGTCTGTCGCAGCCGCCACTTTTCTTGGGTATCTCGTTCAAAAGACATTACATACTTTTTAACCTTTTGAAAATTCGTTTAAAAACAATTTAATTTTTAATTTTTAAATAATTTGTCGACCTTCTCGCGTATCTATTATATATGCATATAATTGAATGTACTTTAGTTTTATCAGTTTTTAAGTAATTTGTCGTCCTTCTTTGGTATCTGTTAGATAGAATCGTGAGATACTTAAAAATTTGTAAAAAAATTCATATCTGGAAGATATCAAAGAACGACAAATTGCTTGAAAATAGGTAAAACTAAAACACACTTGTATTTTTTTTTAATTGACTTGTATTACAAATATATTTTTAAATGTTCTGTCACGTCTTCTTAGACTAAAACATTGTTACATAGTTATTAGTACGAGGGTTGCTAATCCAATTTTAGAGATCCTATTATAAACACAAGACGTCCGAAAGGATCCGGTAGACCGAAAGTATCTTATCTAATTGGTGTCATTGTCCACGCTTACGAGTCACCTCGTGTTTCTGTCCAGTTGGGGCACAACGACCCTCCAGGCAAGTAACCCGCGGCAGTTTGACATTTATTGGAACGTGCCCAGCTTTATGTGTAATCAGTACAACGTGATATTCGATGAACTCAAGGATTTTGGAATTCATCAGAATACGATGGATCAATTTCGCGGTGAAGAGATCGCAATCCTTTATGATCCCGGAATGTTTCCGGCGTTATTGACCGATAAAACTGGTGAGTTAAAAGTGCATTTTATCACTAAATAAAATTATTCAAAAATATCCAGCAAACGTAATTGTTAATTATTTGGCGATGTATGTTGGGAGCGATTTCTAATAATAAAAAAATCTCAGTATAACTATTATAACTCAGCGATTTCCCTAGTAGCACAAATTATTGGCGCAATATTGGGAAACGAATGTACAACTAATATTAAAACATTGGATAACCAATATTGGTCCAATATTGTAAAGTAGATGCCTAGTCATATTTAGCCAATATTGGGGATTCAATTCTTACCCAATGTTTTACATTGGCTATACATGGTTTTTCAATATTCGTTAATATTCCTGAAATAATGTATAATCAATATTAGAAATAATTGAATAAAAATTCACTTACCTACGGGATTCGACCTGGGACCTCTAGACTATGAGTCTTCTGCGTTATGTGCTGCACCATTTCTTCGATTAATAAATGTGTTACTTAATTATACATATATGATATAAACAATCAATCCACAATATATATCCAATAATAAAGACAAATAAATAAATAAATAACAAATAAAGACAATATTAAGTAATGATTGATATGCAATATTGGCTACACATTGGCATTTATTATATAGTTAATATTGGTATTACATTGGGAAATATTGGCCAATGTATCGCCAATGTAGAGCCAATATTGGATAATGATTGACATGCAATATTGGCTACACATTGGCATTTATTATATAGCCAATATTGTGTAACGACTGATATGCAATATTGGTTATACATTGACGTTTATTATATAGCCAATATTAGCATTGCATTGGGAAATATTGGCCAACGTATCGACAATGTAGAGCCAATATTGTGTAACGACTGACATGCAATATTGGCATCTATTGTATAGCCAATATTGACATCGCATTGGTGAATATTGGCCAATGTATCGCCAATGTAGAGCCAATATTGCACAATGATTGATACGCAATATTGGCTATACATTGATATTTATTATATAGCCCATATTGGCATTACATTGGGAAATCTTGGCCAATGTATTCCCAATATAACCAATATTTAGACAATCTTAGCCAATGTATAGCCAATGTTCCGTGCTACCAGGGTTATTCCAGTGATTTTGGAGCTCGTTTTCTCCTCACACAAAATATTATTCCGTGTTGTTAATTCTTGTTGCTAATCGCTATTATATTTATTGTCTATATGCCTTTATACTTTTAAATAATCGGTTAATTTCTTGGAGAGTAATTTATTATTGTAATTGTTCAAAAGTTGAATTAATGTGATTGTCGATATATTACAAAATAATGAAACTTTTATCCTACTCTTGATAAATGCCCGAATGTAAATAATCCACAGACAAAAAAGCTAATGAGTTTAAAAGTATGTGCCTATTGCCTGTATTTCCACCATTGAAAGGCCGTGTGCAC